TTTGGCACATCAATGTATGCTAGTTTTGGGCTCCTTATTATATTTCTATTGTTCATAACACACTGAGTATTTTCATGTTCTGTAGGTTTTGATCCTTATGCTCGGCCCTACATGAATTCAGATCCCATGTATCCCGCTCCTCCTATGCACGGTACACCCCATGTAGACGGTTATCAGATACCTCATATCCCAGTGGCCGCTGGCGCAATGGGAGAGGGAATGTATCCATATGGAAGTAGCATAGCTGTAAGTGCGGTAACTCCACCTCCTCCTGGTACTGGCGGCAACGCTACATGGGGAGGAGGTTATGATGCTCCACAAGCGAGGAGCTGAATTTTCTGCTATGTGTAGCTTGTTAAGCTTGGCCGAGTTGAATCTTCTGAGATGTCACCTAGTTTTGCATCCATAGAATTTTAATCCAAATTTTACCAACGCGATTTCTTTCGTGTTTAATTAAGAGGCTTTTAGTAGCTCCAATGTAGGATTTGCAGGCTTGAAGCAATGCTTATGTAGTTTCAAAAGATTATAGCTTCCAATAGAATTGTACATTTTATTCAGTATGTCAACTATTTTTACCTGCACTTGCTTTGGGGCCTTTAGGGGAGTTGTAGGGAATGAAAGTTCTTTGTCTTATGGCTCAAGAGTAAAGGACTTTTACTTTCTTTAGGGTAGACTGGCTATATCGCACTACTTGGGGTGCGGCCCTCCCCGGACCTTGCGTGAACGCGAGATGCCTTATGTATCGGACTGCCTCTTTAGCTCTTCTAGACAAACTGATAGAAATGCACTATGTAGTTGGATTTTGATAGGCATGGCCTTTAAAACTAATTTGCAAGTAACTTTTTTTCTTCATAACGGTGGTATCCGGGTTAGTTGTACGTACCTTAATAATACATATATATATATTTGGTTTTTTTTACACGTTTGATCCTTTTTTAACTATTATTTTAAAAAAATAGCATCATTTATTGTTTATTCTATAAAGAGCACTTTGTTTTTCATTATTAGCATATTATAAAAATTAAGCTCAACATTTAATAAGTTAACTGACTCACTAATCAGAGTAAGTACTTTTTTGTCTATTTCCATTCTCCCTTTCCAACATTCATCTTGTTCACTCCATTTTTGAAAATCTGATGCATATGTGAATGCTACCTAAATTCAAGATGTATTGATTTATACGTCTTTTATACTTTGTATATCAAGTATCACTTTAATTCAAAATGTATTTTATGTATATAATTGTATGTTTATTTGTGAAGTGCCATCTTATTTTAAGATGTATTTTTAACGTATATTTCAAGTATATTTTATATGTCAAGTGCCATTTTAATTCAGGATGTATTTTTTTATGTATATATATTTTTTTGTATATTTATATGCCATCTTAATTAAATTTAAGATATATTTTTTTTATGTATATATATTTTTTTGTATATTTATATGCCATCTTAATTAAATTTAAGATATATTTTTTTTATGTATATTTCACATTTCCAAGTGTAATCTTAATTGAAGATATATGTTTTATGTATATTTTTTTTATATATTTTATATGTTTTAATTTAATGTATATTTTTTATATATGCGTTTTGTATATATTAACATATATTATTATCGAAGTAAGATTTTTATGTTAAGAAAGGAAGAAAGAAGGAAGAGAAAAACTTAAGAAAGATAATTAAAAAGAAAACAAATGGAACAAATTTAGAAAATATATTGACTTCGGCAGAAAACAAAATTACGAAGATGAAGAAAAAGAAGGAAAGCTAATAGATAAAGAGAAAAAAAGGCATGATTTTTGTACAAAGAATTATTGACTTTCCATTCAAATTGCTTATGTTTAGGGATTAATAATTAATATTCATATTTTAATGGAACTGTGTGTTACAAATATAAATATTTTCCTGCCACAACTGTAATATTGGTTTCATGCTAAAAATTTATTATATTTCGTTTAAACTGTGACAGTTATGTAAAGTTCTCTTACTTGCCTATTGTTGATCAGCACAAGTATTGCGTAACTTTGCCAACAAATACTTAAACAGGTGGAAAGAAATTACGTTACCCAATAACCACCACTATTCTCTCATACCGCAATCTTAGCCGTATACAGAGGTGAATTCAAGATTTAAGCTAGTACAATAATAATATATCCAGTGTATTTTTACATGTGTGATCTGGGGAGGTTAGTGTATATGCAGACCTTACCCCTAGAGAGGTTAGTTTCCGATAAACTCTCGGCTCAAGATTTAAGTCAGTGTTTGCACTAATTATTGTTGTAAATAAGTATATAAGTATGGTTATGGATTTTTTAATTAGATGAAATAAAAATCCTTATAACTTCATTAAAGGTAAATTGGACGATTAAAACAAATATGAATATAAAAAGACAAATCTGTCCTCTAGTTGTCCACCAAAACGTTGGTCGATCTTGACCATCGAAGATAATGTCCGTTTCCCAAATTCAGGAGAAATTTGTACATAGACGCTCCGGTTAGGAGGTGTGAGAGTTTGACCATGACGGGTCCGAGGAAGAGTAGAGATAGGCCAAATAAGTATTAAAAAGAGATAATACATTATTAATAAATTTATAACTAAACGTATAAAGATTTAAATTCTAAGGCAGACATTTTAAAGTTACCTAGAAAAATAAATTTTTTCAAGATCGATGGAAGAACTTATTATAACTTGTATAGTAGATTTCATTCTCTCACTAACGATATAATGCATGAATTGACGAAGGTTCGTGTCCAAATTTTCAGCAAAAATGTATCCAATAGTTTTCCCTTGAAGATAAGCTAAGAGTTTAACAGTTAAATTGTTTATCTAAATATATTTTGAAATTTGTCCAAAGTAAAAACATATCATGAGCAAATCTTCTAATCTTATATCTTATGCAAGATATGAACTTTGTTTAATAGAAAAGATTATGTGCATATTTTTAGAATTATTATTAGTAATCTTAAAAATTCTATATGGTTGTTATATAGGGGTAATTTTACAAAGAGCGTTATGTTATAAATATTATTGTTGTTGTTATAGGTAAAAATTGTTATAGAGAGGAAAAATATAATTTAAAAAATCAATTCTGAGAAAAACTTAGCTTTTATAGTGAATAGTTGTTATATAGGGATGTTGTTATAGAGAGATATGATTGTATTAAGATTAAGACATCTGAATCTGAATATACGTCTCAATATTAAGATGTGTTTTAAGATATGAATACTAAATGACCAAGACTGTTTGTTTTTTAAACNTATAAAATATATATAATATATACATATACATGGTAGTTGGTGGTGGTGACAGCTAACGAAGGTACTTGTGAGTGCCGACTAGAGGCGGTGGTTGATGGTGATTTTAGTTGATGGTGGTGGTTTTGGGTAGTAGCTAGTGGTGATTGGTAGCGATAGTGATTATGGTTGAGGATTGTAACGGTGGATGGTGGTGGTTGCGGTTGTGATTAAGGAAGGTTATGGTGGGTGGTAGTGATTTATAATGGTGGGTGATGCCGGCTATGATTATTGATAGTGATGGGGTGGTTGGTGGTGGTAGTTAAGGTGGGTGAGTGTGTGGTTATGGTTGAGGATGAGGGTGGTGGGTGGTGGTAGTGGTGGCGGCTATGGTTGAGGATGGCGGTGGTGCTGCTGGTGATAGTTGATAATGGCATGCGGTGGCAACAGTTAATAATGAGTGTGGATGATAGCATCTTAATGAAATTAAGTTTTTGTTATAAATACATATTTATTCAGACTTATTAAATGAATGTGAAGTAAAAAAAATTACTTAATGATTAAAATCTAAATAATTAAAATTCTGACTTTAAAAATAAATGTACTTAATATTTAATATTTAAGATCTGAATAATTAAGATTCAGACCTCCATTAATTAAGTACGGACAAAATGAGGCTTAAGAGAATTTAATATTTATCATATGATCTAATGTTCTCGAATAAGTGCTTACCATTCTTTAATATAGTCGGCGCATTAAATGAGTTCTAATATTAGTATATAAATAAATCTGACTAGCAACGACACATAACCTTATTCTTTTATTATAATAAGGTGAGTTCGGGTAAATTTGTGGTACCTTAATTATTCTATCGCAAACTCTATCAATCAAAACTTGGACTAATCGAAAGAAATCACCCAATATTGATACATAAGCTATTAAATTGAAAAATATTATAAAATAAAAACTGTAAAGTAAAGACAAGTATAGAGAGAAACTGAAATATTAATCGAATTATTTGGGCTAATAACTTTGCNGTCTTGGTTTGATGCCTGATTTTTATCTTTGATGGTGTCTGCCAGACCCATCGCATCAAGATGAATTTCGGCATCAAGCACCCAAGACATGTAGCTTTTGCCCGATATATCCAGGGCTACAAACTCAAGTTTAGAAAGATTTGACATTATTTAGAAAAAGAAAGTTCGTACCTCTGATACTTTTAAAGTATTTTCTCGAGATGGCAGAGTCTCGTGCTGATAACGTGTTATAAAATAAAAACTGTAAAGTAAAGACAAGTATAGAGAGAAACTGATATACTATTCAAATTCAAACTTATGTACATAATGAATCGAAAACTCCTCTATTTATAGAAGAAAGGAAGTAGCTGCGAGGCTTTTCAGGAAGCAGCTGCAAAGCTTTTCTTTAGCTACTTGTAAGCTGTCTGCATGAGCTGCTTGCAACTTGCCTGTTTAATAAGAAGTTTCTACAAATCATTTAATTGAGCTGCTTGCAACCTGCCTGCATCAGCTGCTTGTAGATAAACTTCAACAAAGTACTAAATGGATAATGTTCTTCAGGAAGATTATCTATAGCGGAGTAATAAATGAACATACACAATATAATTATTTTCATAACAAAAAATACCTTTTTGGTAGAAGAAAAAAGGAAAAAAACAAAAAAGGAAAAAACGAAATAAAAGGGTAAAATGAGGAGGAACATAAAATAATAAAATATAAAATAATAAATATAACATAACAGAATTGGTAAACCAAAAGAATCGGATCCGAGATTATATCAACTTATAATCAAACCCTTATTAATAATATAGCCCCTTTTTTCATTTTCAGTCGTCTTTGCAGTTTCTTCATTGCTCTTTTCGCTTGATTTGCATCAGCCATGGCCGACGAGGTAACCCAAAAAAATTCCAGATTTCCTAACTTCCTTCTATTCGTATTTAATAATTCCATTCTTGTTTTACAGATTCAAAAGATTCAATTTGTATATGGTAAATTAAATGTAAAAGTTCGATTTTTAGAAAATTTCTGTATTTTATTGGCGATCTGTACAGTTCTTTGAAGAACCCATGTTGCTGGTTACTTTAGTTGTATGTGTGCTCAGATATGTCTGTGTGTGGGGTGTATTAGGTGAGTATTAGTTTTTGGTTTAAGAATTTCCTTGTAGAGGTTATTGGTTTTATAGGTGTAGACACTGAAATTTTAGCATATCAAAATTCCTATACATCTCGACCCAATTTATTGTCAACAAATTGTGGCACGCCCAGTGGGACCAGTTCTGCCCTTCATCTCTTTCTCGTGTAAATCGAACACTCCAAGTTTCAAAATTATTTGTTGCGATGGTCGAGTAGTTCAAAGTCTCGTCTTCAAGTTTCGGCAAGCCTACACCCCGACAAACCTTGAAGCGGGGCATTTGTAGACACTGAAATTTTAGGAGATCAAGATTCCTATACATCTCGACGCAATTTATTGTCTACAATAGGTTGTGGATGAATATGCAAATTGGTATATGGAAAGGTGTGCAGTCTGTAATAGTTTTTGGTCTAAGCCTTTTTAAACAACAACAACAACAAACCCAGTGTAGTCCCACGAGTCGGGTCTGGGGAGGGTAGAGTGTACGCAGACCTTACCCTGCCTTTAAAAAAGCATAGAGGCTGTTTCCGGTAGCCCCTCGGCTCAGGAAGGAAAGAGGGAAGGTCTAAGCATTTTTAATGTGACAAAATAAATGATGAACTAAAACAAGGGGAAAAAAAAGTTGAAGAATTTGAATGACTAGATTGCATAGTTAAAGGATTGGGGTATTGTATTCAGCTTGAGTGTTGAATGGTGATCAAATGATCTACCGAAGCCTTGGTGGGCAGAGTTACTCGGTACCTGTTATGGTCATAGGAGGTAGCAGGTACCATGTGAAACAGTAGACGTACGCGCAAGCTGACCGGACACTACTGTAATAAAGAAGTGGTGATCGAATGAAGAATATTTAGCACTTTTGTGAAACAGTACTTAGCTTTAGCAGCAATTTAGATTGAGGTTTGAGGTTCCGTCTCCATCTTAAATGAGTTATAGAAATTGTCAGTTTGTAGCCAATAAGCTTCAAGTATTTTGCTTTTTAGTGAGATGGTTATAAGATAATTGAAGTTATGTTCAGGTTAACGATTCAGTTAAGGCCAATAACACGTTCAAAGTTTTCACTATAGAGATTATGTGAGGTTTGTCAGTGGAAATGACTGCTTAAGCTTCTCTCTGTTGCTAAGTGTCACTGCGTTTAAAGAGTTGGATCATGTGATGTTACCACAAATTACTGTTGATTTTCACTTTCGAGGACAAGGAATCACTTATAATTGAGTATTTATAGGCTCATTTAGTCATCAGTTAGAATTTTGGAGTTGGGTAAAAAAGTATTAATGCTCTTAATATTTAGGGATTTGATTCTCCGAGGGGTAGCTTTATTTGGGGAAAAGAAGGCTAACAAAGTGATGATTGGTTGTGATTTTTTCAGCATCATGGTAAAGATGTTTTTTGGTTTTGGACTGGTTTTTGTTTTATCTGATTCCTTTCCATATAATGTGACTATGTTTACCTGTTATATAAAGTTTCTCGATTATATTTTCAGTTTGGTCTGAATATTTTGGTTTTCGGTGTGAGCTATATTTCGGCTTCTGAAATTCACTGAGTGCAGCATCCTAGATCTGCTTCTGATTGAAGTTCTAAATTGTATACATCTGTTTCTGCATATTTGGTGTTCAGAAAACTTCCATTTCAGAATATAGAAAACTTTATCATTATTGATGTTTTCAGTAATATGTTGATAAAAAGGTAAAAACAAATTGATAACAAAAAATGCAAGATGGCCGGCAGTTATGACCTCTCTTTTTAAGTTGTTTTTCTGTTACTTCGTGAATCTTTTACCTCACTTGGATTACTTGTAGAGCTGTGGTACTTGTTACTGACATTCTGTTTCTTCCTTCTCCTTTGTGTGCCTTTCAGATTGAACTTAAAACTGCTCCAGCTGATTTCAGGTTCCCAACAACCAATCAAACAAGGCACTGTTTCACACGCTACGTAGAGTTTCATAGGTAAGCTCCCATGCTTTTACACAATTTTATACTTCAGAGACTTGTTGCATTGTTGCTTGTATAAACATGACATTTAATGGATTTAGAATCCCTTTAATAGACTAGGGAATTTATCTTATTTCTTATCTGAAAGAGTACAATGAAGGCTTGGTCTAGGATAGCTCCACCGGATTAAAATCATCTGCAAAACTAGGGGCTGAACTCTCAAGTTTCAATAGTGAAAAGCTGCTACAGACGGTTTGAAGTTCTGCTTAATGCATGCCTTTTCTCCCGTGAAACAATATAGTTAAATTTTATGATGTAATAAATTGTGTAGACGCTCTTTACTGATTCAAAAATGAAAAAATAAAAAGTTGTGTAGACACACTTATCATCCCCTCATCCACCAACCAAAAAAAGTTGTTTAAAGAGACGATATGGTGGATTTAGTGTCCAGCACAGCGTGGAATTGGTCTGAGACCTGGTAAAGTCTATTAATTTATGCGTTTAATCTTATGAAAAAAGAAAAAAATATTGCGGGTCTAATATAATCAGCTTTTAGAAGATCGTTAAAGTTGATACTGTTTTTGTTTTAGTTTAAAAAAAGGTTACATTTTAGTCGGGAAAAAAGTACCAAGGAGGTATTGTAAAGTACAAGCAAAGAGATTATGAGATAGCTGTTACATAATCAGCTCAGCCTATTCAAGACTTCCAAATACTTAAATTGGGTTTCAACTACACTTTCTTTACGCCAAAATTATAAATTCTGCGAACATCTATTCTCTACAATGAAAATACGACTGCTTTTGCCTTCAAAACATCTCCTATTTCTTTCCAAACAAATGGTCACATGATTCAGAGAAGGGATGGTTTTCCAGTTCTTCTTCATTCTTTTGCCCGCTTTCTGACTTGTCTACCTTCCAAAAGACCTCTTATGCTGTAAGGCATAACCAATTACACTCTGCAAATGTTTAAAAAGAGATCCTAAATCTGTCTATCATATTTACAATGGAGTAAGAGATGGTTTGGAGATGCTTAATCTTTTTTCTCACAAAATAAACACCTGCTGCATAGAGCAAATCCACTCCTTCTACAGTATTCTTTTATTATGGAGTTTCAGTTTTCTCACTCCTAAACCTCTAGCTTCTTTATTCCTCATAACCACTTGCCATTTAACCAGATGCATTTTCGTCTTTTCTGATTTACCTTCCCAAAACTGACTTAGTGTGTTAATTTTCCTCTCAATTGCTGATGGCATAGGGAATAGAAACATTAGGCAGGTTGGGATCCCATTCATTTCATCTCACAATTGATTAAAGTCAATATTCCTCCAAAAGATAATACTGTTTATTCCAGATGGAACGCTTTCTAACCTTGTGAGCTGGTCAACGTTGAATCGTTCTTGCAATGTGTCGATTATCTGAAGCTGTTGTTTTGAGGCTTAACCATTTTCGTGGTGTTTTACTAACTCTTGTTCACAAATTTCAGGTGTGTTGCTGCAAAGGGTGACGAGGCTGCTGAATGTGGTAAATTTGCGAAATACTACCGTGCTCTTTGCCCCGGTGAATGGGTGAGTTATGCTTATTAACTTGTATTTTGGTGTGTTTCAAGTTGTAAGTTATCTTGAACTTTGCGGTGGGTCATAGTTCACCGCTTTGCGTTTTCTCATTATTTCTTCTCCCCTTCCTCTCCTTGATTTTTTTTTTTTGATCAAGCTTGTTTATTGGAGCTTTACTTGCCTTTGAAAACTTTACAGAAGTTTAAGCCATAATTTGATATGATGGGGAATTTCAATATAGAAATGTACTAGGCAAATTCACAAAGTACTTCACTACTTCTCCTTAACTCTTCAAATAGAGCACATCAGGATATATTTTTATCATAGGGCTTATAGATATCAGCATGTCCTCCATAATAACTACGCCGAATGAAGCATTATTGGTTTCGAGTGTTGAATTTGACAAGATTAATGTGAACTAGTGTGAACATTTGAAAGCCTCCTTTTAGGAGAAAATTGGTAGATGCATTTACATTGCATGATGACGCTTAATGTGATGTCATGCATGACATTATTAAGGCCATTTCCCTTCTATAAATAGCAAGAGATTTGTTCATTTGTAAACATCTCTCACTTGCCTTCTTATCTCCTAAGGCATTCGAATCTTCTTTCTATCTTGTAGTATTTCACTTGTATTTTTGGAGTGAAATAAAGTTTGAGTCGAGGACTAGGCAAAAATCAAATTTTGCCGAACTTCGTAAACTTCTGGTGTTCTTTTTATTATTGTCTCACTTAGTATTTATTAGCTATCTTTAGATATAGTAGTTGTGATATAATCACTCTAAATATTCGGCTTCCGCAACATCGAGTTGGTATATGGATGGGCCAATGGTTAAATATTTTGTTCATTCAACACATATATGTGAGTCGGAGCTAACCTTATTCCTAAAGACATATCTGAATGGTGTTTGGTCCATAAGAATTCTCAGGCATTTTAAGCTCCCACTTCCTTTTCTTTTTGCTTCGTAAAACACACAGTTGGATTCATATACCTTTGCCTCCTAATTTGGAGTCAAGTCAGCAATTGTTAGCTACATGATAATCAACCATCTGGAGGTGTGATTGTTTCCTTAGTCACTCTATGACTATAAAATAATAGAAATACCAAAACAAACATGCCCTAATATCTCATTTCAAGTGTCATTTTTAAAGTCTGGTATCTGGATCGGCATCTTTCCACTAGTATAGGTATCAGGTAAGTTGCTCACCAAGGGGTTAAGCAGACCACAAGAAATCACATAGTTATTTGTTTTTTTAGCCTCAATTGAGATTCGACCGCTAGTCTCCCGTAATTTTCTTTCCAACTTCATTAGCATTTAGGCCATACTCTTGGGTGCCATTTCAAGTGTATATTTTGATTGACTGTGCATTCATAAAAGCGAAGAGTTGGCTTTTCTTCTCTTTAAAGAAATTTAAAAGGATGAACTTTCTTTTATTTGAATGTGTTAACGTAGAGTCTTGATGAGCTTTGAAGTGGAGATTAGTTTGTAGCTCTTATCTTTTTATATTTGAATTTTTGCAACAATAACAATAACCCAGTGAATTTTTACAAGTGGGGTCTGGAGAGGGTAGTGTGTACGCAGATCTTACCCATAATCTTCATCAATTTTTTTTTTAATTTTTGCTAGTATGGGTCCTATATTTTCCTTGGTAGTAAGGTACCAGAAAAGACTAGAAGAATTGGGCACCTAAAAGCATCTGCTGTGTAAACTTTGAGACATTTCGGTGCACCAGGAAGGAGTAGAGCTATAAACTTGGGCTAAGGGAACTAAGGGGTCATTGGGTACGCGACTAAATATCCCGAGATTATTGTCCGGGACTAATTTATCCCACCTGGGAGGTGGGATAAAATAATCCTAAGTTTGTTGGGATAAGGTGGGATATCCATGCTTAAGTCTTGGATTAAATTTATACTATGTTTAGTTGACGGTATAAATTTATCATGTGCTAAATTTATACCGTCAACCAAACATGAAAGTAAATTTAATCCCACATCTTATCCCCGTACCAAACGATCCCTAAAAGTTCAGTGATCTCCAAACTTGATTTTTCTTTTCTTCAACACTTCTTCTAGGATGGATAATTACGTTATCTCAACCATATATTTTTTTAGCAAACAAGTTCATGGTCTCTTGACTCTGACATGACAATAATAACATCTATCTAACCCGGATATATATGATTTCCACAAGTTCTTATGTATTTTGGGTGACAATACATCTGACATGGTTATGACAGGCACATGTCATGACTTAATGAAGGGTTTAAGGAGTTGGTTCAAAGGCTCTAAATCAATTAACTGCCATTTAATCTCAAAAAAAGTTTGGGTTGGTTATAAGAATCACTAGTAACCAAACCCTACCTATGCAATTTGTAAAAGCTTTTCTTCCTTTGCATAACACTCTTCTTCCAAATTTTGAACCCAACGCCACCTAAATAATCTGTACTATGCAAATTAAGATACTCTAAAGCTAGAGATTCCCTCTTTTTTTTTTTTTTTTTTTTTTTTTTTTTTTTCAAAATTTCGGCAGAGTTTCAGAATTTTCTAAATACCTACCTACTCCTATTTTTTTTTTTTTTTTTTTTTTTTTTTTTTGATGAAGAGATTCTCTAAGTCTGACAATTATCCCTATGTGGAGTCGTGGATGTAACTAAATTAAAAAGAACAGTGACTAATCCCAAGTAGTTGGTATCACCAATCTGGATCCCTTGTTTCTGTTCTGTTTCTAGCGAAGTCAAAGGCTTTAAGATGCGATGATTTAATTTGTCTTTTAGTTTGTCGCAATTAGACATCTCATAGCGTATGCTTTTATTAGTCCTTGATACTTGCACTTGATCAATGCAGTCCGGTTGTGTAATATTATTCCATCTTTCCTATGTCGAAACGATGAATTCCTTTATCTTTCGCCATAACTAGTAATAACTTTATCTTAATTCGCCTGTTTCTGCAGGTTGAGAGGTGGAACGAACAGAGGGAGAACGGGACTTTCCCGGGTCCTCTTTAATTTGAAACATCAGATTGCAGCATCCTTGTTATGATACATTGGTTTCCATTTAATGTTTTTGTTTGAAAGGGTAAAACCTTGTTTTCTTTTGAATTGTTAAGGGATCATCAATAAGGAATTTCTTTCTACTTGTTATCACTTGAAAAGCCCTGCAGCTTTATACAGTTTCTCTGTTTTTATTCCTTGGATTTCATAATTGTTTATTCAAAGGTTAAAGACATGTTTTTTTATGTGTTCTTTCTGCTTTGGTTTTCTTCTCATGTTGGGAATCAGTCTTATTTCTTTTATTGACAAAGAAGATACCTGCTGATTTATAACAAAATTGTGACTAGGGATGTCAAATAGGAGGGTTGGGCCGATTTTGGGCAGGTCAAAATATGTTGAGTCAATAAATGGGCGTGTCAAATGACTCTTCCAATGTAAAAATAGCACGGGCTAGCCAGTTTTCGGATTGGTAATTCAAAAATGGCCAGCATTTGCAAAGTCATTGAAAAATAGTCATTATTTTGCTGCTGCAACACGGACCGGTCCAGCATAATATACTGGAGATTGCAGCATTTGTGTATGAGCTGGAATATTTTTCGGATTTTGAACAGTGTTTTCGTTCAGATTTATCTTTACATGAAAAGTGGCTAAATTTCGATTACTTTTGAACTTGTGACTATTTTTCAATTAACACTTGTAAATCTGGCTATTTTTTAATTTCTCCCTCGTCCAATAGTTACTTGGGCTGATATGAGTTGGGTCAAGATGAGCTAAAATTTGGGTCATAATCTAACCCGCTCAACTCTTATTAAGCTTTTTTACTTTAATGTGTTATTTTTTCATGAATTGTATAATTATTAAATAAGATTTTTTTTTCTTTTGTTATCGTCATATATAACATATAAAAAAAATAAAAATATTTTTGAGATATTTTGATAAAGTTATTTATGGATCAATTTGGACTAAAAATTAGCCCAACGTTAGAGAGGTGGGTCAATAACCAGCCCAACGTGTTGGACTGATTGGGTGTGTCATTTGGGCTTGGGGCAAATTTGACAGTCCTAGTTGTGACAAACAAGTCTCTCTTTAGTAATCTTAGAGGAGAAGTTTACATCAAACTGCATGAGTTTACTAGGTCTGCAATAAATATGTCAAAGAGAGAAAAACTTGGAAAACAACAATATAATTTTTCTTTTCTAGTTTCCTTTGTTGAAAGAAATTGATATATATGAGTTCAAACTTCAAAGATTTACTAGACTAACTATATATAAATTTATTCTTTTGCAATGTTCGGTTTTTAATTAATCAAAGTTAAAAAGAATCGATATGTAATTCTAGGATTAATTTATTGGCCTAATCTTTTAAATAAGGTATTTCTTTATACATTCCTTACTTTTATTCACTTATTTAATTAAGTAGGTCTTAACTTAGGTCTAATTAAGTATTATATATACACTAGCATACATCTTTCTTCTCCTTGCTGTCTTGGTCAAATCCAAGACAATAAATTAATTATAAATGAATACTTAAAGAATCATATACAAGTGTACTTTTGTCCTTTAATCCAAGCCAAGTCCAGGTCAAAGGCTATGAGAAAAAAGAACAGGTAATTAGGTTTATCTAGGCCGTGTTGTCCATGTGATATGCCTCGGCTAATGTACTTGGTCCGTTTCAATTTATATAGCGGTGTTCGAATTTCGAAAGTTAATAAAGAGATTCTTTCATGTCTTTCAAAAATTTTGAATTTTGAATTATTGTGGCTTATAATATTTTTTAAGTAGTTTTCACATATGTAAATTTTATTTTAAGAAGTTTAAAGATTTTATATCCGAGTTTATGATAAAAAATTAAAAAAATTTGACTCTCGAAATCCGACCTATGACACATAAATAGAGGCAGTCGGAGTAATTACTAATCTTTCATAATTTCAGAAAAAATTAGGCATGACGCGAGAACAATAACACATGATAATAATAAATATTAATAGTTTTATATTTTTTAAAAGTTTAATAATTAAATAGGAATATAACTCGAATTTACCTAAATTTCAAAAAAATAAAAATAAAAATAAGAAAACAAATCAATATTATTTTTTTCCTTAATCAAATCAAAGATAGGAGAAGGAGTAAAAATCAAATGAGAAAAGAAAGATATCCATAAATAAAAGGCTGATTTTTAAGAACATTCCAAGCAAGTTCATCAGATTCATTATTCATATCCTATACCAAATAAACACGAAAATGTCACATTTTACACGTTACACGGACTATACCAAATCAGATCAACTTTAATAGAAATAGAAACTTGCTTTAGTTTGTCCACAAATAAATATTTTTTTTTCAAAAAACGTGTTTTGTCTATGAAATTTTGCTAAGTTTTTGAAAATATTTTCGAAAATTGAAAACCACTTTTTCAAAAATTTCAGAAATTTTTGTTTTCCCAATCACAAAATTGCAATATTTTTTTCAAGTAAAATGTATGTCCAAATATAATTTCAAATTCCAAATATCATTTTTCAACTTAACTCCAAATAGTACTCTTTTTCAAAACTTACAATTATTGTCTCCAAACGCCTACTAATTTTGTAGGACCATTTAGAATGGTTGATGTTTAATCCAAAAATATTTTAGGATAAATAATAAAATTTATTTTTAACGAGGTCACTAGCAATCGGTTCGAATCGAAGTTCAATCGAATGAATTGAAGAATCAAATTATTAATGTTGTGAATAAATAAATAAAATTAAGCAATTAAAAAATAAGAAAGATCTTATTGATTGTCGTTGTGAGCCACAATGCTAGCAAAACAGAGAGAAAGATTGCCTAGTAATAGTACAATAGTTTTAAGCAAAGAGTGAATTCGAACGTACAAGTAAATAGAATGGGGATATCGTGTCATCATGCGATTCATTCACGTGTCAGAGTAGAATTTTTACCAATAAAGTTGATACGATTAAATATTAGAAAAAAGGGTAACACTTGTCTATGAACTACAAATATTGGTGCTTCTAAAGTTTATACAAATTGTTATAGTCCAAAAATTATAAAGGCTACAGTATCTAATTCCCTTTTGCCTTTTCCTTTGGGGCGATTTGCACAAATAGGATCATATATAGTCACGGCGGATCTAGGATTTTAATTCTATAAGTTCAATATTTAAAATTTTTAGAATTGAACCTATTATATTTTTAAAGTTATGGATTCATATCTACTATTTATTATAATTTTTATAATTTTTACACATAAATTTATGTTTCACGTCGAAAATTTTATACATAACCTATTATATTTTACACATTAGCCATGGATTGGACCTCGTTCATTTAAGCTCGGAGTTGGTCGATCCGGTCAATCTTCTGTTGAACCTGCGAGGTTTGGTCGTTAGTCGCCACGGCTAAATCCTCATTGCTAACTTCGAAAACCTTTACCTTTTCGACCAAGTCAGCATGCTCCTTCTGAGCCGCATCCATCTCGGCTTGGAGATTCTTTACGACCCCTTCGTGTTGCTCGCTGAGAAGCTTATACGTGTCTCTTTTCTCAGCAAGCTCCTTGATCTCGGCCTCGAGCTGGTTAACCTCGACCCGGTACCGAAGAAATCTTTCGTGATGGAGCACCGAGGCCTGCTAAAGGGTAAAATAAATAAGAAATGAGAAATATTAAGAATTAAGTCAAAGGTCGAAAGATCGTAATGATATCTTACCCGATTCAGTGCCTGCTGCGCCTCGTTGAACATGCATGGCACGTCCGCCTCGTTCATTTTAGCCTGGTTTTCTTCGGTCACCAGACATCGAAGGTGGCTCGCTACTCCCACGAGAGCGGAAAGAACCCGGGCATCCTCCAGGATGGTGATGACTATCGACCTCTTGTGGTCGGGATCTACGCTCGGGGTAGGGAATTGGTTGACTAACTTCGGGCTCAAATTTAGCCCGCCGACTTTTGAAGACGACCCCTTTCTCGGCACCTCCAGGTCGCCCTTCGTTAGACCTCTCCTTTCCTGCTCGGGCCTCCTCGAGCATGGACTCGCTATAGGAATGCGATCCTGAAATCTCTATTACACCGGGTGCCTCATTTCGGGGCGTGGTCGGCATTCCGGGAAGTCTTGGCCCCAGTCTCCTCATCAAACCCCCTAGGCCTGAGGGGGATCAGCCTCATGGATCTCCTCTTCAAAGGCTGCTCGCTCTTCGAGGAATGTTGGCCTGTGGGCCATGAAAAAATCATCTTCTCTGATCCCATCCCTGAGCCGATAAAGCAAATCCGAGTCGGGCGCTCGAGAGCTAGAACTTTCCTTTGGCTTACGGGCCAACCTTTTTATTTGGCTTCGTCCTCTCTGAGCTCAGGGAGCCCGGAGCCTTCCTTTTCTTCCTTTTTCTTACTGCAGCCCCGAGCTGCCCTAAAGTGGAGGGGTCAACGGACGTATCCTCCTCCCCTACTAAAGGCCTAATCTCAATGGTCTTAGGCAAACCTGCAAAAGGAAAAGTGAAGAAAATAGGGTAAGTATGATGCGAATAAAAGAGCCAGATGTTACCTATTCGAAGAAGGGCCTTACCGTGAGAACGGGCCTCCCAACGGCCCTTCGAGGGTTTGCGCCATGAGCGCTCGGAATAAGGCATATGTGAACAAATGCCCTCGATCCACTCCTTGAGCCGAGAGATCGCGTTTGGGACTCGAGTGACAGCTGCACCACCACAAATACCAGTAAGAAAAGAGGAGATGAAGGTAAAATGGCATTCAAGTGGAAACTATACTTACGAGATGCGTTCCACTTCTCGGGAAACGACATGAGTTCGGGGGAACCAAGTCTTCGATTTTCATTCGAACAAAACATTCGTGCCAGCCGCGGTCCCGGTCCTCATCGATGCTCGAGAATGAGGCTTTGCTGGCCTAACGTGTGAGCTTTATTAGTCCCTCTCAAAAGATTCGGGGATTGTATAGGCGGTGACGATGATCGATGATGAACTGACGGGACTCGGTCTTGTTCATGAAATAACAAAGGAGGATCACGATCCTCCACAGTGACGGGTGGATTTGACCAAGGCATACTTCGTACCTCTTGTAGAAATCCAAGATAACTAGGTCCACCAGCCCCAACGTAAAGGGATAAGTGTAAACACTTAGATAACCCTCCACGTGGGTAGTTATGGCGTCCGCACGGCCGGGGACTACTACGTCCTTACTCGCCAAATTGCAGTCCTCTTGGACCGCGGGAATGACGTCTTCGGTAATGAAGCATATATATCTTGATACTCCCTCACACTGGCTCTACACCGACGAGTGCTTCTCAACCTTAAAGTCACCGGCAATCGAACAACCCCCGGGAATGAACATTTTCAAGGGAGGCCCGACAGCCGGTTCATCGGAACCCGTATCAGCAGCGGGAGTAGTCTCATCGATTTCAAAAGTCGGTTGTGAAGAAGAAGAAGCGACTTTTTTGGGAACGGATTTGAAAGTTTTAGCCAGTGTTATCTGGAAAAAGCTTGAAAACTATGAAGAGAGGTAGAAAGATGAAAGGTTAAATGCGCTGATTTGGGTAGAAAATAAGTAAAAACTTGCAACTTACTGAGAAGTTTTGAAGAATGGAGGTGAAAATATTAGAGTGTGAAGAAGGGTAGTGATATCTTGAAAACGTGAAGGTAGAAGCTTGGCCAAAAGGTGAAAAATAAACGAAGGAGGAAAGTATTTATAGAGGTTTCGTGCCGTTTGCATTCAGGGACGACCTGCTGATGGTTGACGCGTCTTTGAAGTCATAATGACACGACTAACAGGAAGTTTCAAATTCTTTGTCGTTTTTGTCACGACGTATTGAAGAAGGAATCGAGGTGCATTTGTCGTTTCCGTAAACTTACTCTCCGAGAAACAAGGGGACTATCTGTATATGGGTGAAACCGAGCCTTTTGGACGCCTAGGTTCCCGATGAAGTAAACAGAGCAAAGATGTGACTGTAAGGAACCAGATTCGGGGCAAGGAGCCCCTCGAGTCGGGGTACGGGCAATACACCTGCCCTCGGAAGAATAGGGGCCACGTCCCCTAGGTCCGATTCGAACCCCAAAACTTCGGAGAGCATTACCAGATAATCGAGCACGACAAACAAAGGGTCATGATATTCATGCCCAACCAGATATTACAGCGTGAATCTCGGCACGTTTCAACAGAAAATCAGTGATTAGTAAAACATAAGATTTTTACCTCTTTTGAAATTATACTTAAGGTAAAACTCCCCTAGTATATAAAGTGGAGTCTAACTATTCATTAGGAATCATTGTAACACGCGTGTCAATGCAATATACTCTTATTTTTTCTGTTATTCAAAGTTCTTACTTTTGTTCATCAGTTCTTCATTATCGTGAGCCCGAGATCGAAGGCACGCATTTCATTAAAGTTGTTATTGAGTCCGGGATCACTCCCATTAATTGGTTTGACAATTTATTACGTCCTTTATCTGTTTAATCTAACACAATTTATTATTTGTATTGAATTAATTCACGTATCCTTAAAATCACAGATAAATTTAATTGTTATCCGTTTTTTAAGAATAAACATAAATATAAACAATAGTTCTAAAAAAGTTCCTCCAGCGTAATTTTTTATTTTTGTTGTTGTAATCCAAAAACCAATCACTGCCAAAACCAAAATTAGTATTGATCGTTACATCTTTACAAATACTAATTCCCAAATTTTATCCCACTCCCACATTACTAAGACGTTTACTCCACGCTCCACANTATATATATATACTCCTTCAACCGCTCCATAACTTTACCACATTCACACCCATTTCCTACTTCCATTGATTTTTTCTGCTTTTCTCATCTGGGTCTTGTCTTTAATTTTGTTAAAAAATGGTGCGTTGTAGCAACAATTTAGTCGGAATTCTAAACATAGTAACATTTCTAATATCAATCCCAATTATAGCAGGAGGAATATGGCTCTCACGTCAAGCAAACACAGAGTGCGAAAGATTTCTCGAAAAACCCATAATAGCACTCGGAGTTTTTATACTCTTAGTTTCATTAGCCGGTATAATCGGTTCTTGTTGTAGGGTTTCGTGGTTACTTTGGGTTTATCTACTCGTTATGTTTTTGTTGATTTTGTTGCTTTTCTGCTTTACGATATTTGCGTTTGTTGTTACTAATAAAGGTGCTGGTGAAGTGGTTTCGGGTAAAGGGTATAAGGAGTATAGATTTGGGGATTATTCTAATTGGTTGCAGAAAAGAGTTGATAATCATTGGAGTAGGATTCATAGTTGTTTGCAAGATAGTAAGATTTGTCAAAGTTTGATTGAGGGATCGAATACTAAAGCTGATGATTTTTTCAAGAAACATCTTTCTGCTCTTCAGGTATATTTACTTTAAGTTTTTAATTTTTAATTTAATCTGGTTCTTAGTGTTTACACTTGATTGTTTTAGTCGAAATTGTCAGTTTTTATGTGTGTGTGTATATACTTGATTTTTATTGTATGGTTTTTGTTCTAGATCCGGATGGAAGAGTATTTTTGGAGGATCTGGGGTGCGGTGACATTTTTAGATAGTTCGAGCAACATATGTCTTTTTTGGTTTTGCTTGTCTGATATCTGGTATTGTTTGTGAGGAGGGGTTTTTTTGTCAGTCCGTTCGAAAATCGCACTATATATCTGGATGGAAGAGGCTATGTCGTCCGAACTCTCCACAAATGCTTTCGGGTGCTTGTTAGATCGTCCAAAATTAGTGCATTTTTTTGAGGATTCAACACGAGTGTGACAACATTTTTAGATAGTTCTAGCAACGTTGATTTTTTGTTTTGCTTGTCAGAAATCTGGTTTTATTTGTGCATTTGGGGTTTTCGTCTATTCGGACCCCTTCGCTAGAAAATTGCACTGTATATATAATTTTAAATTTTTTTTTTTTTATGTGTATATATAGTAGATGTTGAACCACCTTAGTGAAAATCCTTCTTTCGCCACGGTACAAAAGGATTTGTTCAAGGTTTTTCCAAAGGTTCACAATTGTTTGTTTTTTTGATTGGCTATTGAAGGACTTACTTTTTGGTAGTTGACCTATACTTGACTGAGTTTGGGTTTTGCTTAAGAAATTGAGGGTTTGTGTTAGGTCATGCAAACTGCTACTTTTGTTCATACTTCTTGCTGTGTTGATTAATGATCTATAGGAAAACATATAATTATTTGGTAACTTTATATCTCTAGTTAGTTATGAATTTTTTTGTTTAACTTTATGTAAAGTTAAAAGGTGTTAGGACTTTGACTCTGTTGGTAATGGCTATAATTGCACTTTTTGTCTAAAGGGTTACACCTTTAAAATCATCTAAGTTGGTTTGGTGAAAATGTTGATAAGCCTTTTATTTCTAGACAGTGCTTTATTTTGACTCTGTTGGTAGTGTCAAAAAAGTTGGGGCTTTATGTATTATGTATAAAAAGGTATACATACCTTTAAATATTCATTTCTAGATGTGGTTGTTGAGATAAAGAGTTATTCCTTTTTGTTTCCTCAAAATAAACCTTGAAGATATTTTGTCTAAAAGTTTTGGGGCTTTTTGTTTAAAAGCAAACATCTTAAAGCATTCATCTTATTTAGGCTGCCACATTTTGGAAAGTTCTACTATGCAAATAGATAAAAAAGGAGTACTTTTGCCGTACATGTATATAAATCTTTGAATATCGTTGATGTTATGTTGCTCGAACTCTTCAAAAATGCGTGTGGGTGCGTGTCAGATCGTCCAAAATTAGTGTATTTTTGGAGGATCCGATACGAGTGCGACAACATGTTGAATGTTTGACTATGCAAATAGAGAAAAAAAGAGTACTTTTGTTGTACATGTATATAAGTTTTTGAATACTCCTGACATTAGAGAAGTACATGTTCAAATCTGAGGTGTGGCATCTGTGTCGTTTTGAATCTGTTTGTTAGAGTTTCTGTCTCCGCCACGGATAGGCTGTTGGTTGTAATATTATCGTCAATCCTTTTGCCTTTTCTTGTGGATGGGCTCTTATAGCAGTAATTTCTTTTGCTAGTGTCTACTAGTAGTAGTTGCTCTTATTCTATCAAAATAATTCTGTGATTGAATCTAGTTTTCAACTTGCACATGTTAGTTTCTTCCTTTGACATTGTGATTGAGTCTGGTGTCCAACTTGCACATATTAGTAATCGTTGTTGTAGTCTTATTATATGTCTCTGACACTGATTAAATATCTTGTAGTCTGGTTGCTGCAAGCCCTCAAACGACTGCAACTTCGAGTACGTGAGCCCAACAAACTGGACTAGGACACCAAGCTCATCCCTTAATAATCCTGACTGTACTACATGGAGCAACGATCCGAAAATCTTGTGCTATGGCTGCCAATCCTGCAAAGCCGGGCTACTAGACAACCTCAAGAGTGACTGGAAAAGGGTGGCTGTACTCAACATCATTTTCCTCGTCTTCCTCATCGTCGTCTACTCTATCGGATGTTGTGCTTTCAGGAACAACAGAGAGGACAACGCTTGGAAGCGTTACCCTTGATCCGTCCTGAGGAATGCACTTTCGCTAAGTTCTATTGATTTCTGTCGTGTATTATATAGAACTATAGGTCGTTTAGTATGAATCTATGATCTTTCTTGTGCAGAGTATTTCTTTTGCTAGGCAATTACTCTGGATTTGGATATATGTGAATTCCTATTATTCCATAGAATTCTTATGTTTAGAAGTGATATGCTGACTGTTGGTTTTGGATGTAGAGTTTGATCTCTTCTTGATTATGAGTATGTGAATTCTTGATTTGTCTTGCTCTTGGATATTTGTATGGTGGAGATTTTAGCATTTCTTGATTTGAACTTGTGAATGGATGGTTGAGCGACAATTAGAAGATAATTCATCTTTTTTAATTTTTTGAGCAGAAAGTAAAGATAATAAAGGGACATATGGCCATTTGATGTGTTGGGGACAGATGGAGACATGTCTTATTCTACATATTTATATTATATTCTACTTAGTATTTAAATCTCCCACGTGACTAAAAGATCAATAGAAAACATACTATCTAAAGTAAATGTAATAACATGACTAATACATAGGTATTACCATTGTTGGTCCCGTGGACTATATAGCACACGAAAATATGAGAATCGTGCTGAATTCATGTTTTATGGCTCTAAAATGCCAAATAACGAAGAACGGTCATGACAAAGCGATGACTATTGTTCATTAGGTCGTTTCTGATGGTCCGGCAAAATTTTAGGCGATTCAGAGCCGGTCGCCCGAATTCGTGATAGCACACGAAAATCTGGGAATCGTCCTGAATTTCTCCTTATGTTCCTAAAATGCCCAAAAATGAGGAACGATCATGGCGAAGCGATAACTATTGTTTATTAGTTCGTTTTTAATGGTCCCGCAAAATTTTAGGCGACTCAGAGCCGGTCGTCCGAATTCATGCAGATGACTCTATATCACATGAAAATTTGGGAATCGGGTAGAATTCTAATTTTATGACCCAAAATGCCAAAAAACGAGGAACGATCATGGCGAGGCGATGATTGTTGTTCCTTAAGTCGCTTTTGATGGGCCAGCAAAATTTTAAGCGATCCGGGATGACGTGTGCTATATAACAAACGAAAATCGAGAATCAGGCGAAATTCCAGTTTTATCGACCAAAACACCAAAAAATGAGGTACAATCATGTTGTTCCTTAGGCCGTTTTGATAGAACGGTAAAATTTTAAGCGATCCGGGTCCGGTCGCTTGAACCCATGCAGATGGCGAGGGTTATAACATACGAAAATTTGGGAATCGGGTGGAATTTCAGTTTTTATGGCCCTAAAACGCTAGAAAATGAGGAACGGTCATGGCGAGGTGATGACTATTAATCCTTAGGTCATTTTTGATGGGTTGGTAAAATTTTAGGCGATTTGGGTCCGGTCTCCTAGACCCATGCGGGTGGCGTGGGCAATAAGCACACGAAAATTGAGAAATCAGACGGAATTCCAATTTTTGGTCCTAAAACGCCAAAAAATGAGGAATGATCACGGCGAGGTGATGACCTTAGGTCGTTTTTAATGGGCCGATAAAATTAAAGGCGACTCGGGTCCGGTCGCCCGGACCCATACAAATGGTGTGGGTTATAGCACATGAAAATCTATGAATCAGGCGGAATTTCAGTTTTATGGCTGTAAAACGCCAATAAATGAGGAACGGTCATGGAGATGCGATGACTATTGTTCCTTAGGTCATTTTTGTTGGGCCGGTAAAATTTTAGACGATCCGGGTTTGGTCGCCCGGACCCATGCATATGGCGTAGGCTATAGCACACAAAAATCTGAGAAGCGGGCGGAGTTCCAGTTTTATGGCCCTTAAACGCCAAAAAATAAGGAACGATCATGGCGAGCCAATGACTATTGTTCCTCAGGTCGTTTTTGATGGGCCGACAAAATTTTAGGCGATCCAAGTCCGGTCGCCCGTACCCATACAGTTGGCGTGGGCTATAACACACAAAAATTAGGGAGTCGGGCAAAATTCCAGTTTTATGGGCCTAAAACGCCAAAACATGAGGAATATTTATGGTGAGGTGATGACTATAGTTTCTTAGGTCGTGTTTGATGCTCCAGAAAAATTTAAGGCGATCCGGATACGGGCTATAGCACACGAAAATTTCGGAATCAAGCGGAATTCCAGTTTTATGGCCCTAAAACACAAAAAAGGAACGATCATGGCGAAGTGTGTACTGTTGTTCGTTAAGTCAATTTTGATGGGACGCCAAAATTTTAAGTGATCCGGGTCCGGTCGCCCGAACCCATACAGATGGCGTGTGCTATAGCACATGAAAATCTAGGAATCGGGCGAAAATTCTTGTTTTATGGCCCTAAAGTTGCCAAACTATGAGGAACAGTTCGGGCGAGTAGATGGCTATTGTTCCTTAGGTCGTTTCTTATAGGCCGACAAAATTTAGGCGATTCGGGTTCGGTTGCCCGGACCCATGCAAATGGCGCGGGCTATTCCAGTTTGGGAATCAGGCGAAATTCCAGTTATATGGCCCCAAAACACTAAAAAACGAGGAACAGTGATGGCTAAGCGATAAATATTTTTCCTTAGGTAGTATTTGATTAGCCGACAAAATTTTAGGCGATCAAGGTACGGTCACCCAGAACGATACAGATGACGTGGGCTAGGTCAAACGAAAATCTAGGAATCAGATGGAATTCCAGTTTTATGGTCCTAAAATGCCAAAAAATGAGTAACGTTCATGGCGAGGCGATGACTATTGTTTTTTAGGTCGTTTTTTATAGGCCGATAAAATTTCAGGGTTCAGTCGCCTAGACCCATGCATATGGCGTGGGATATAATACACGAAAATTTGAAAATCGGACAAAATTCTAGTTTTATGGCCCTAAAACGCCAAACAATGAGGAACGGTCATGGCGAAGCGATAACTATTGTTCCTTAGGTCGTTTTAGATAAGTCGGCAAAATTTTAGGCTATCCGGGTTCGACTATAACACAAATTCTGAGAATCGGGAGGAATTCCTGTTTTATTGTCTTAAAACGCCAAAAAATGAGGAACGGTCTTGGCAAGGCAATATCTATTGTTTCTTAGGTCGATTTTAATGAGCCGACAAAACTTAAGGCGATCAGGGTCCGATTGCCCTAACCTGTGTAGATGGCGTGGGTTATATCACACTAAAATCGGGGAATCGAGTGGAATTCCAGTTTTATGGGCCCTAAAACGCCAAAATATGAGGAGCGATCATGGCGAGGCGATGACTATTTTTTCTTAGGTCATTTTTGATAGGCCAACAAAATTTTATGCGATTCGGGTCCGGTCGCCCAGACCCATGCAAATGGCGTAGGCTATAACACACGAAAATAAGGAATCAAGTGGAATTCCATTTTTATGACCCTAAAACACAAGAAAACGCGGAACAATCATGAAAAGGCGATGACTATTGTTTTTTAGGTCATTTTTGATGGGCCAAAAAAATTGTAGGTGATCAGGGTCAGTCGCCCGGACTTATGTAGATATCATGGGCAATAGCGCACGAAAATCTAGAAATCAGGCGTAATTCCAGTTTTATGGCCCTAAAATGCCAAAAAATGAGGAACAGTCATGGCGAGGCGATGATTAATGTTCCTTAGGTCTTTTTGGATGGGCCGACAAAATTTTAGGCGATTCGGGTCCGGTCGTCCGGACCCATGCAGATTGTGTAGGCTATAGCATACGAAAAACTGAGAATCTGTCGGAATTCCAGTTTTATAGCCCTAAAATGCCAAAACATAAGGAACGGTCATGGTGAGGCGATGACTATAGTTTCTTAGGTAGTTTTTGATACGCTGGCAAAATATTAGGCGATCCGGTTACAGTCGCTCGTAGACATGCAGATGGCGTGGGCTACAACATATGAAAGTCTGGAAATCGGACGCAATTCCAGTTTTACGGACGTAAAATACCAAAAAATGAGTACTGGTTATTGCGAGGCGATGAATATTATTTCTTAGGTCGTTTCAGATGGGTCAACAAAATTTTAGGCGATCAGGGACTAGTTGCTCGGACCCATGCAGATGGCGTAGGCTAGAGCACACAAAAATCTGGAAATCAGACGGAATTCCATCTTTATGAGCGTAAAACACCAAAAAAAGGAATGGTCATGTCGAGGCGATAAATATTGTTCCTTAGATCATTTTTGATCGCCCGGACCTGTATAGATAGCGTGGGCTATAACACACGAAAAATGGGGAATCGAGCGGAATACCAATTTACGATCCTAAAACGCCAAAACATGAGGAGCGGTCATGTCGAGGTGATAACTATTGTTCCTTAGGTAATTTATTATTGGCCGACAAACATTTAGGTGATCAGAGTCCTGTCGCCCAGACCCATGCATATGGCAAGGGCTATAGCACACAAAAATTTAGGAATCAGGCGAAATTCCAGTTTTATGGCCTTGATACGCCAAAACTGAGGAACGGTCATGGCGAGGCAATGACTATTGTTCCTTAGGTCATTTTTGATTGGCCGAATTCTTTTTAGGTGATTCAGGTTCGGTCGCCCGGACCCATGCAGATGGACAACACACAAAAATAAGGAAATCGGGCATAATTCTAGTTTTATGACCCTAAAACGCCATAAAACGTGGAATAGTCATGGCAAGGTGATGACTATTGTTCCTTTGGTCATTTTTTTATGGGCAGACAAAATTTTAGGCGATCGGGATAAGTCACCCGGACCTATGCAGATGGCATGGGCTATAGCACATGAAAATCTGAGAATGAGGCGTAATTCCAGTTTTATGGCCCTAAAACGCTTAAAAATAGGAATTGGTCGTAGCGAGGCAATGATTAATGTTCCTTAGGTCATTTTTGATGGGATGACATAATATTAGGCGATCCGAGTCTGTTCGCCTGGACCCAGGCAGATGGCGTGGGCTATAACACATGAAAATCTAGGAATCACGCGAAATTCTAGTTTTATGGCCCTAAAATGCCAAAATATGAGGAACGGTCATGGAGAGACGATGACTATAGTTTTTAGGTCATTTTAGATGAACCGGCAAAATTTTAGGCGATCCTGTTTTTGTTGCCCGTAGACATGCAGATGGCGGGAGCTACAACACTTGAAATCATGCGGAATTCTAATTTTATGGCAGTAAAATGCGAAAAAAGGAGTAACGGTCATGGCAAGGCGATGACTATTGTTCTTTAGGTCATTTTTGATGGGACGACAAAATTTTATGCGATCGAGGATCGGTCGTTCGGACCCATGCCGATGGAGTGTAGCGGCTAGCACACGAAAATATGGAAATTTGGTAG